TGCGCTGTGTACTTACATTCCAAGATCGAGTTTGGTGAGGTCCAGGTACGCAGATCCCATAAAATCATCCTGCAACCCCCAGTCATAATCGAATACCTAAAAGAGAAAGACTCAAAAGCGTAAACAAAACAGATTTCCCACAATATTTATAACTTTAAATGCAATTAATCGAAGGCTGGTTTTTAAACCTGTCAGATTTTAAAATAACATATATTCTTTTGTAATTATGTACGTTAAATAGTTCTGAATAAGATTAAAGAAATAATGTTAAACAAAATGGCGGGAAACATCAGCTGCTGAATGTTTGGAATTTCCCAGCATTCATCTGGAGGGAAACGCAGAATACCTCAACAAGGATAACCAGTAAATGAGCTGAGACTCGAACCCTGGGTCCCTCAAATACAAAGGAGATCGTATGTGGAATTAATTCCTGCAACGAACACATTTTTCCTTGCACTAATCTGTAGGAAAATGTTAAAATATAAAATATTGGACAGTCATAACAACTGAGCAATCACGCATACCAATCGATCAGTAATTAAAAACTATTTGACGTGTACAGAAACGAGACTGGAGACTCACGTGCTTGAAACAATATGGCGGCTGACTCGTCATAAGTAACTGAAGAGGAAAACGTAATCCATTATGGTCTCTTGAAAGAACAAAGGCCCTTTACAGCAAAAGGCACAAAAGGTTAAAAGCATTGAGAGAACATTTGATTTTAAAACAGAAACTATTATTCACATAAACTTATTTAATTCGTTGAATTACATCTTTCTCATCATATAAATAACACAGAAATGCATGAAAAAGGTATAATGTAGCACGTTCTATAGAGTGAGTCACAATTAAGCTACGATTAAAAGAAGTTATAAACTCAGAAATGAACAAAGTTGCGGATATACAAATTCTAAAACCAAATTTGAAAATTGTACCAATACGATATTCGTATCATATCCGCCGATTTGATCTTTTCAGAATTATAATTTATTTAAATCGGGACCTGACTGAGGCATTTTATAGGTTTATTTAACTGTTTATACACACATTCACATTCTGTGTATGTGTTCATATAGAAACATAGAAGATGTTCCCGTCAATGCATTTCTTTAACTGATTTCAAAGCAATTTTACATAATTCTACATAAAAATCAGCGATAAAGAAATTAAATTTGAGACAGAATGTATAAGAAATGATGTGTCCTAATGATAAAAATATTTTATGTAATGTGACAATTTATTTGCGACGAACAACTTTCATCTACGATCTGTACCTCGCGTGGAGAAGGAGTTACTATGGACCGATACTGACCAAAATAAAATTCGTCAGACAATACACTAAATTACTCTAAAGAATGTTGTATGGTTTTTGTGGTAAAATATGTCCACGGAAAAAAAAATCACAAACTTACACATTACGAATTTCCTATCATACGCTCGCATTTCTTGCAAATGAAATGAAATTTGTGTATTCCTGCAATGTAATTGCATATATAAACCATTATCTCCTCATATCCTTTCACAATCTGCTCAGTAATTAAACAGAACGCAACGTAAGAAAAGATACAAAGAAGATTTTTGAGGATTACGTGCGTTTATAACCGTTTCTTGTACGACCACCATCTGGTGGACAAAACAAGAACTGAACGCAAATGATAGCAAACAAATCTAAAATTGCAGTAAATCGTAATAAAGGGTCCTACGACCAAAAGGCTTAACAATGGAATTAAATATTTTGAAGCCCTCTTTTATACAAAAAAGTCAGAAGAAATCGTCAAGAAATCCAAGTAAAATCAGAAGAAGGTTTAACCTAGAAGTATAAGAGAAGTAGGCAAACATTTTTTTAAATTCTCAATTGTTGAACCATTAAGATTTGTCACTGTGATTTTATTCTGCAACTCGAATGTTTTGTGCTATTAATTCAATCAAACATCTGTATCCTAATAACGTCTCAGTAAATAAATCATTTATGTTATACAGAAACGTTACACTGAATCTTAAACTTCACAACACGGATTCCGTACATGTATAACTAACTAACTAACAAACTAGATGGCTTACCGAACCCGAAGTTCAACACCGAATTAACCAAAGCCCTCCACCGGTCCCTGTCCTGGGCTAACAAAATCCAGTCTCCTTCAACTCCTATCTCCCATAGATCCCGCCTGACATTATCCTCCCATCTACGTCTAGGTCTCCCCAGCGGTCTCTTCCCTTCAGGTTTCCCAACCAGTACCCGGTGCACACCTCTTATCCCATCCATGCGCGCTACATGCCCAACCCATCTCAATCTTCTCGACTTAATCCCCCTGAAAATACTGGGGGAGGAATACAGATTTTTAAGCTCGTCATTGTGCAATTTTCTCCGTACCCCATCGTCTTCTCTCTTAGGCCCAAATATCCTCCTCAACACCCGATTCTCAAACACCTGCAATCTGTGTTCCTCCCTCTGAGTGAGAGACCATGTTTTGCACCCATACAAAACAACAGGCAAGATTATTGTTTTGTATACTTTAATTTTCAGGTTCTTAGAAATCAGACGGGAAGACAAAATATTTTGGACTGAGAAGTAGCAAGCATTTCCGGAATTTAGTCTCCTCCTAACTTCCTCACAAGTATCATTTTGATTTGTTATTGTTGTTCCCAAATATTTGAACTTTGTAACCCTTTCAAAGGATTTATTAGCCACCCTAAGATAATTTTGCCCGCCTGTCTTCTGACGACGAGATACTAACATGTACTTAGTTTTTTCTAAATTTACTTCCAGCCCCACTTGTCTACTAGCCTCTAGTAAAACTTCTGCGTTCCTTTTCATCATATTCATATCGTTCCTCAATAAATTGACATCATCAGCATATGCCAATAGCTGAATTGCCCCGTTCAATTGCAAACCCTCCTGCCTATCTTGGACTTTCCTGATGGCATATTCTAGCGCAAAGTTAAAGAGCAAGGGAGATAAAGCATCTCCTTGTTTCAGACCGTTCTTGATAGAAAATGACTCAGATACATATTTAAATATACGATGGTGATGGCGGTTATAAGGTCGGTGACAGAGTAACTGCAGTTGTAGTATGGAACGTTTATCTCAATTATGCGTTTTATTGATGTGGATCACGTAATATGTCCAGTGTTACGCTACTATACTTTTGATCGCAAATACCATTAATCTTGTATCTAGAACAGATCAGTCAGTATAGAGACTAGGATGTGGGCTGGGCAACCCGGCTTCGATTCTCAGCTCAGGTAAGGACTTTTCTCTTCGTTACAACGTTCAGACAGGCTTCAGTCTCCTATCCAACGGGTACAGGGGGTATTTCCTAAGACAGATTGGTCCAACATCTTTCCTGTTGGACCCAAGGGCCAAGAAACCCCTAATGTCACTATTTTTGCATTCTTATTGTCTTTAATAATATTTATTCAGAGATGACGAATTATCATTGCACGTGCTGAAATTTAAATTGTATTTAAATGTGCACAAACTACTATAGAGTTTTATATTATTTTAAATTTGCTCCTGCAAAAGCTTGTATCTCTCTCAATTTTTACGTACATCTTATGTTTTTAAAGTCAACGGCTTTAGTGGAATGTTATTTTAACAGTGACGGAATATCAACTTCTATTTTATTTCTTTCTAAACGAACGGTTAGTCGTAACATATCTTCAGTTGTGGCATTTGTACATAAAGCAGCTGACGAGATAAGAATCACAATTTTTCTTTAAAATCCTTAAGAATGAATAAAATAAATGGGTTTTTAATAACTATTAACAAATTAACAAATACTTTCGCGGGTCGGATTACACCACGTGGCTGGAGTGTGAAGATAACCGCTAACTTTCATCGTGAACTTATATACCCATTAATGTAAACGTCTGCGTAACGTGTAAGTTGGTATCTCTTCTTCGGATTTATACGTTCTTTATGCGCTTTGTCGCCATGTTGTAATATCCATTCTTAACCTCTGCTGTTTCAGACTGTCGCTCACTCCTGATGGATGTTTATAAGAACAAATTCAACAAAGTTTCCTTCGCACAAAACAGTAGAAGAGTCAGTTATACGCCTGAAGTTAATAGAAATTGATAATGGAGCGGTATTTTCCTCTTGAACTACAAACGCGTTAACTTTTATATTCGATAAACACCTAGTTACAATTACCAGAGCGAATTTATGTCAGCTGCAAGGAATAAACTTTCTTTCACTATCTGAAATTAGTTATAAATCATAAAAGTATATGCAAATCATTCATATCGAAGTTCGTACCTTGATATGAACTGGCATGAAGGGGTCTTCAATGGCTAACGTAAAATTCTCATCCCATATTGGATTCAGTTCCCTGTAGATGGTCTTCGACTTGTACAATAGCCGACCTCCAACTTTGAATTTTACGTACGGATCGCTTGTACCTGAAACAGAACGAAACAGCTTCCATAAACGCAAGATAATTTTGACCGCATAAGCCATAACTTTCCCACATTACACAGCGGTTTAATAAAATTTTAATTTGGTCACAATTAAAATTAATTCTTCCTCGTTCTTATATCAATAAATTTTCGAATTTAAATAAACGTTCTGGGATTGTTTGAATAAAAATAAATTAAACATATTATAAAATTTTAACGAAAAAAGATATACACCAACGCCAATAAAACAATTTCTGCTGGGCGTAAAATGCACAAACGAAACAAGGAAAAAATCAAATCATCAATAAACAATTAGTAGGTTTGTATTCTAGAGCAGATATAATTTCTCTTCAACTTTGTACCCCCAGAGTTTTTGGTGTATAATTCAAGTTATAAATAGTATATAATCTACATCTAAAATAAATTAAATAAATTACATTACTGATTATTCAGTGTATATCATAGAAAAATATATATTTTTTTTAAATTTCACGTACCCCCTAAGATGTCTTCGCGTACCCCCAGATATAATTTCTCTTCAACTTTGTACCCCCAGAGTTGTTGGTGTATAATTCAAGTTATACATAGTATATAATCTACATCTAAAATAAATTAAATAAATTACATTACTGATTATTCAGTGTTTATCATAAAATAATATATATTTTTTTAAATTTCACGTACCCCCTAAAATATCTTCGCGTACCCCCGGGGGTACGCGTACCCCAGGATAAATAATACTGCTCTAGAGGAATCAGTTTTGAATCTCAAACACCAGACTGTGTACACGTGTTATAACTATCTTCGCGGTTTTCCTCAGTCCCTTCCTTGAATTTCATATAACCACTTCCTTCCAAAGTCCTCGCCACTAATGAATACTAAAATATCTCATTAAATGTAGCACGGCTCATGCAGCCAGTAAAAAACCTTTAAATGACTGGTAATTTTACTTTTACCCGAAATCCACCGACCTCTTCATGTTCTTGGCTTGTATATAGCACAATCTAGCACTGGGTTCGAACCCTGTGTTGGGAATTGCGTTGTAACTGTCGGCTACCCAATCTGCGAGCCCTACCGATAAAACGTCCTGAAGAAGGATTAAAAAGAACTTGCACAACAAACAACCAAGGATTGTAGCGACAACTACAATGATCTTATTCTTAGATTATTACATAATACTGTTTCAACTGTAGAGGTTATATAATTTATTATTTATTTAGTGTTCTGTCTGACGACAGGTCCATATGAACAGGATCCTTCCATCCTTTTCTCGGACTGGGACCTGTTCATATACGTTCTTGGCAGATGATCCAGAAGTGGTTTGACATTGCAATTGCCTTCTTCTGTGTAATTGTTGGGATGCCACGGAGAAACCGGGGAAGCCCCCGGAGGAAAACTCCGTGTTGCCTAGACCACGGCCTTGCCCAACACAACTGATAAAGAACAATTATTGTGAATAGTAGCTATTAATGACATGGAAAGAAGCGGTCGTGGCCTATTTATAGTTAGTATTCAAGAAGTTTCTTGCGGCGACTGAGGAATATCATGACAATTATCCGTTTGGTAATTCGTTTCGAATTTGAGATGCAAATATTGATCGTCGTTACTACACTAACTTGCAGGAAGAAAGGAGAAAATGATAAAGAATAAGGAGAAGGAAATATGAGAAGAAGGTCATTTAAAGAAGAATTGGATGAAAGAGAGAACGAGATAATAATGAAGAAAAGGGAGGAAATGACAGAGAGAAATTAAAAGATGATGAAATATGAGAAAAACTTAAATAATAAGATCAATAATGAGTATAATAATTACGAGAAGGAAATGACGTGGAAGGAGGAGGGGACGATGAAACCGCGAGGAGGAAGGCTGTGGACCTGCGTTGTCTTCGGGTGAGGGCACCAACCACCAGGTATACTACAACTAGCGTTTAATGGCGATGAGGTGTATCCCCTGCTCTGAATCTGTTAGGTCCACGACAGATCCGGGTTTTCCACTTTTCGCACTTTGCTTCAAATTTAATTAACGTCATACTTGTCTGGATATTAACACAGTCGCCTCTGAGTGCCAGACATCAGCGTGGTAATTAGCGGATTTAAACCCATAACATTTCTGGGCCCCATAATCTTTGCCTTGTGGCGTGAAAACAGTTCACATAGAACGCCCCGACGATCCAACAATTTGCATTTCGTCTTATGTAACATTAGAAGCCGGGATAACTCAGTCGGTATAGTGACTGATTAGGGGCTGGATGACCGGGGTTCGATCCCCGACAGGGGCATGAAATGTTTCCTCTAGCTTCTGAGTCCAGACTGGCTCTCGGGAGCACCCAGCCACCTGTAATTTCCTGGGGGTAAAAGGTGGCCAGAGCGTGACGCTGACCGCTCACTCCAATCTATTTCCTTGTATATACATTATAGTACGGTGGCCGCTTGTCAGTTGTTCACAGCTGTCAACTGTTCCACGACGATAACGGTGGTTATTTTGAACACCTACACTAAATTCGTAAATAATTAATAATTGGCACTTTGTGAATTATTCACTAAGTGCCAATGCTGACGTAAGCAATGGTTTAGTTATTAAAACGACTTTATTTCATTCATTCAATAGATGTAAACATCTTTTTTGGGATAAATTTTTATTCGTATTTAATTAAATAGAGCAATCTGGAAAAGTTTTCGGCTGAAAGTTTTAGATCTTATAAACTTAAGAAATACCTTAAACCGCATATAACCCACTTCTTCAAAAAGGAAACATTTGAAAAGTTATATAAAGTTTCAGTTCAGTTTCATATAAAGTAGGAATAATTGGAATCAAAATTCAATTCATCCACAAACTTTAGTGTGAACTTGTAATGCTAAATTTCGTAGAATTTCGTTGAATAGTCCTGAATATGAATCGTGCGGACTGACAGGTAAAGACATACAACGAATTGAATTCATATAATCATCCTGAATAAAAAATAATAAAGTTGTAGTATTTCCTTGTGAACAAAAATATAGGTGATATTTCATCGCCCTGATGATAGGGGCAGAAAGCACTTCTGAAACATCACTAAACTTCTGCGGATACAACAGTTACTTTACTCGTCGCATGTGAGACATGGTCTCTTTTCCTGACGGAATAAAACTAATCTAAATATAAACAAATTCTATGTGTGAAAAATATACTGAGTTAACGAACAGCAAATAGCAAACAAATTGTTATCATTTATTGAATAGGACATTTTTACAGCCGAACCCGATAGAAATTCGTGAACACAGCGCAGAAGAATGGAAGACATTTCGATTTTTATCAGATCGTAGTTTCGAAACAAAGTTATCGATTCTGAAGAGTTCTGACGACGGTGCAATACAGACTGAATTGTTGGGTTTTTTAACGTTGTCTATCGTATACGAGGTGCTATCGGAAAGTTTAAAGACTGTGTCAATAGAGGGCGA